TACCAGGGGGCAACCCATTGGAGCAGTTCCTTCAGGGTGGGAGGTTTTTTTCCCTCCCAGGGTGGCACCAGGGGAGTCCATTTGGGGCTACACTGCTTTGCCCGGGTTAAGGCGGGTCATTACCCGTTGCCTCCGGCTTCCTGGACGGCGATGACCCCGGGCCAGAAATGGCACCCAACTTACGCGGGGCGCGCCGAATGATGGCGTTTACTGCCCTTACACGCGCAAGCGGTCATGGCCGAGTTCGTATGCGATGATGCCGTGGTTGTCCGCATTCGCCGGGGTGCGGCCCACCGGTTGTCTCGAATTTTTTGGAGTTCTGATACGAAGTAATCCGGGCAGGCCGATGAGGCGGTTGCCACGGGCTTCTACCGACGCGTAGACCAGACACATTTGTGTTCGCGGGCAGGCCCCTTCAGAAGTGTTCTGTTGTAAACCTGGTTGTGGGCTAGACACCGTTTTCCCGCCGGCAGTGCAGCACAAAGCCTCCCCCGGCGAGGGCCAGGGGATTGTATAAGGGCCCCAGCCACGGCCCCGCCCACGATTGGCAGTATTTCCGATGGACGAGGCGTAAAAAGGGCAGGCCGTTTAAGGAAGTTGTAGTGCCAGGGCCCCGTCCAGCGGGTCCAGCACCCACAGGAAGGTCGGGGTGGCCGGCCGTCGGGGGTCGGTTTAGTCAGAAGCCCCTTCGCCCAGGACGATGCCGTGGACGGAAAGAGACGCAGGATATTCCGTTAACCAGATTTTCATGGGTTGCCTGTCGGCGGAGGTTACGGGTCCGTTGGTTTTGTCCTTGTACTCTCTGAGAGACTGTTTCCCGACACTGGGCGGAAGGATCCACGCAGGCGCCCAGGCCAAGGTCCAACGGCAGGCGGTTTCGATCCTCATGCAACTGTTCCTGAAAGTGGGTTTATGCAATCATTAGGGTTTACCTCAATCCGCCGCTCGAAAAGGGGTGGAGAGTTCTCGGGGGCCAGGGCCCTTGTGGCCTGGGGTCTTCGGGATTAGAACGGGCTAGCGTCTGGTACCTGGGCTTGAAGAAGTCTAATGCAGGAGGAAATTGCGATGGTGGCCCACGAAATGAGGCGCTTGACCAACAGCCCAGGGGGGATTTGGCTTCGCCTGCTAGTTGCGGTAATGCGATGGTTCGTAAGCCGTTAGCTCCGGCGGGTGTCGTCGGTGTGAAATGAAAATAATCTCGACAGACCTCGGACTCGAGGAAAACCTTCAGGGATCAAAGCGGTTACCTTCCGATGAGGAGTCGGTAAACGTAAAAGCTCGGGGCAGCAGTAGAGGTCTTCGACGCGTGGTCGTGCCGGACCCCGTACGCCGCCTGGCGAACTGCTGCGGGGTGAAGCCATGTCCGCTTAGGTTTCATTGTTTCAGAAGCAAACCCTGAGGCCGTGGTGGTGAAAGCGAGCCTTGGTGGGGGAGTATACCTTTCTTCACCAATGTTCTATCCATCCGGAAACGAAGGAGTCACGAAGGCCGTTGGTGTGGCATCGGCTGTGGCGGAGCGTTGGATTGTTAAGGGCAGAGGTTTCATTCCTTCGCAGGACTAAGGTTGGTCCCAGCCGTCTATACGGATTGCCCCGTATTTGGTGTCCTGGTGCTGAGATTAAGGCTACGGGTAAATGGGCCCGCCTCGCTGGTAGGTTCGCGCTGGTAGAGTTGTGTTGAGTGGCCGTCGGGTTGGACGTTGTGTACAGGGTGGTTGAGGGCGGGGGAAGCGAAACATAGTGGTGGGGCGGTGCAGGCGGATGGGATGGGTTTCAGCCCCGTCCGGAGGGCGAGAAGATGAGTGTCATGGGTGCCGGGGCACCGCCCGTTCCCCAAGCCAGCGTGTTTTGCTACGATATTGCCGTGGCGTCCAGGCACTGCCGTCGATTGCCCCGGTTGCACCGCTGTCGGCGTCGCGGGCCCGAAGGTGTGGACCGTCCGGAAAGAGCCGAGGCGCCGTCGCCGTTGATCGGATAGGCCCGCAGTCGCGGTTCAGGTCATGCGGTCGCTGTTGCTTTCCGCTAGGTAGAGAGTGCCCGCGGTCGAGACGGAGAACACCGTTGGCCATGGTGGTGTCGAGTGGGACGCGGGGCTGACGTGGTAGCTGCGTACGGGTGGGGGTCACGCCCGCAGCACTGAGCGGTTCTCCAGTTCCCAACCTCGCTGGGCTATGTTGCCGGCGTTCCAGGGGTTGGTGAACAGATGCGCCACTGCGGTCACTGCCAGGTCGTGGGGGTGTTGAGCTGAATCTGTCGTCCACGCGGTCGGCCACGTGACTATGGCATCTAGTCGCTCTGAACTGGACGATGGAGCTCGCCACCGAGCAGCAGCCGAGAGGTTGCCGCCGGTTGTCGAGGCGAGGCCGTTGGTGTGGTTGTGGTTGCCGTGCGGGGCTCAGAGATTTCGCCGGAGTTGTCGTAGCGCATGATGCGGCCTGGACGGGATGTGGGTGAAGAGGATCGCCTGTCTACCGTCCCACACGGGGCCCTCGCTGACGACCGCATCGTAGGCCGGGCAAGCAAGGTCAACTGATACTGCCAAGCATTATTCTGGTTCCTCCTGACCGACTGTGGGTACAGCAGATTATCCACGAATGGGCTGGAAAGTCCACTGATGGAGATGAGAACCAGAGTAATCGCATTGCTGAGGCGGGGCTCTGGCCGGGCGGCTTTGCCCGACGTCAGGGTGGGTCAGAAATTTTTAATTTTCCCGCCATTTCCGCTCATTTTCGACCACTTACCCTATGCCAGCAGGTGGCCGGGACGGGAGCAGGGCTGAAATTCTATTTTCCCGCCATTTCCGCCCATTTTCGACCACTTACCCTCTGACGGCAGATAGCCGGAACGGGAGCGGGGCTGAAAATTTATTTCCGCCTTGCCGCTCATTTCGACCACTGACCTTCTGACGGCAGGTGCCGGGTAGTAAGGATGGAGTTGGGGGTATGGCAGATAAATATAGGGGGTTCTTGGGAAGTGTGTAATATGGGAGGCCTTTTTTGAGGGGGCAAATCGGTATTACAGTTATGCCATGGTAGAAGCGGGTATAAGTGGCGGTAACAGGGGCTGTCCAGTGACGGTTGTAATTGGGCTCGGCGCACCAAAATAACCGACAGCCTTTGTCTTCCCAGACACTACGATTGAAAATTTCATGACATTTACCCGGTAATATTCCTGGGGAGCCTCTGCCTGGGGACGTCGAGCTTGAGGTAAGGGTGTGCTTTTGGTTGGGAGCATGGTTAATGTGAAGAAGTTACTCAATTCGCCTTATTCCTTTGGGTGTTGCTGGCTCTGCCGTCAATTCCAATGATTGTGAATCTCCTGCAGGGTGGTTCCCGCGGTCGGTCCATCGCCGAGGAATGGAAATTGAATTTCAATTGTGCACATCGGGCGTCTTGTCGTCCTTCTGTATGATAGCCGCCATGCTTTGCGCTCCATGCTGCTGATTCCCAAGCTCGTACGGTGGCCTGGTTTCTCCGACGTCGCCGCTACTTTGGCGTAGCTTCGTTTTCCTACGCCCTTGTCCATGTCCTTTTCTATTTTGTCGGCCTGGACACTGGCGCAGGCGCTGGACGACTTCCTTGCTCCCACTATCCTGACGGGATGTGTGCTTTCTCCTTCTTTATCCCATGGCCATACTCAAACCGGGTGGTGAGGGGTGATGACGCGGGCCATGGGCTGGAGCCGCTGGAAATGCTTGCAGACGGGGATAGCTGTGGCGGCATGCGTCGGTGGAGCTGCTTGGTTAAGTGTCCTGACCATTGTGGTAATGGTGGAGCGGGAGTTTGGGCCTTTCATTTTCTTCGGGCTGCTGGCGCTGCTGGAAGCCACTCGCATCTGGCGGACCCTGGCGAAGCGCAACTCTCGTGAAATTGAGAAAGCTGACCAACGCCGTTCCGAATTAACCTATTGTCTCTCCGTTTGTCTCTCCGTTTGTCCCACCGTTTGTCGAGGCGAAGCCTGCCGTACTTAACCCACACTAAATATGACTGGCGGCTATTGATATTGGAGGGCCATTGGTCTAAATTAAACGGGCATTTTGGGTGGCGGATTGGTGGTGCCGGACATTCAGTCGACGGTGGATGATCGAGCGCAGTCTGGACAGCGGTAGTACGATGAAGTCTGGAACGCCTGGCCTGCGCGTAGTGTGTCTTCATAGATGTGATACAGGCCAGCGCCCAGAACTTTCGCGTTGAGGGTTCCAGCATGTCCCCCAACCTGGAGGGGCAGCAGTACCTGCTGGTCAACAAGCTGATCTACCTGAAGTTCGATGTTGAACAGTTCTCCCGCATTATCCCCATCTGGGAAGTGGACAAATCCAAGGTCAGCCATCCCATTCGCCCCCCCAAGTTTGGCGAGATAATAGTTTTTCGCTACCCGGGCGAACCGGACCGGGACTTCGTCAAGCGAGTGATCGGGCTGCCGGGAGATGAAGTCGAAATTGTGGACGGCCGGGTAATGATCAACGGCGCCGCTTACAACGAGCCATACTGAGTCGCCTCCTCAACTATGATACTTCCGCCGCGGCAGATGGGGATGGAGGGAGTCTTTTGTATGGGTGACTTTCACCGGGCCCACATCCCGCAACGACTCCCGGTGCAACTGGTGGGGCGCCCGTACCCGAGGGAGGAAAACGTAGTCGGCAAGGTTTGGCTGATCTACTGGCCCTTCTCCCAGCTGGGGACTCCCCGGTAAAGCTTCTCCGAACGCTGTTCTCCGTCTTCCACGGCCACTTGGAAACTACCTTAAGACTAGAAGTGAAAGTCGCCTCTGCACCCACCGGCAACTTTTTGCTGGGAGTCACCCCATCCGGGTCCTTCCCCGTCTGAGAGGGCACTGGCTTTTGTAGCCCTCCGCTACAGTGCGGATGGGACTTTTGAGACAGTTTCTTACGCGGCAAAAACTATCCACGAACTGACACTCATGCGCCCCGATTCGGGCTTCTTCTGGTCCGTTCGTGGATAGCTTGTGAGATCCCCTGGGCGGAAGGGCTGAAACAGTCCCTTAAGCCTCTACTTCTCTTGCCGGGCCTACCAGGATGTCGTCGCCCTCGACCTTGACCTCGAAGGTTCGAAGAGCGTCAACCGCCGGCGGGGTGAGAACCTTGCCGGTGCGGACGTTGAAGATGGCGCCGTGCAGGGGGCACTGGACTTCCGCGCCGTCCAGGTCGCCCTCGGACAGGGAAGCATAGGCGTGGGAACAGATGTCGTCACAGGCGTGGACTTCCCCGTCCACGTTGACTATCAGGACCTGGTCGTCGCCCACGTCCACCACTTTCATGTCACCAGGGGATACCTCGCTGACCGCGGCAACCTTTACGAAATCGGCCATAACTCCTCCTTGTTACGCATACCGGATGTTGACAATTGCGTCCGGCGTTATGCCGGCAGCATTGAAGCCGGGTGGGATGAATCGGTAGACATTATATATAAGACGGGCTTTGGGCAAAAGAGGCGGACCTCGGGCGAATGAACGCAGGAGGATTTTGGCGCTTCTTGAGATTGAAAGTATGTTTCTGCTGTCAACGGGGACGCTTCAGTATTGGACGAGCCGTCTTTGTAAAACTGCCATATAAGCAGTGTTGGTACATTTGCTTGACCACTACCGGTGGAGTTGATACTTTATGGTACCGCAGTTGTTTCACTTTGGGAGTTTATTGGCCCCTTGAGAGGTTTGATGACCACAGACAGTCATGGACGGTTAGGCTGTTTCAAGCTTAATAGTGTTGCCGTTGGGGACTGCCTGAACCTCATTCCCAATCTGCCTGACCAGTCTATAGATATAGTTGTCACGAGTCCGCCGTATTGGGGGCAGCGGCTTGACGGCGGAATTGGTGTAATACCTGACCCGAGACTATACCTCCAGTGTTGTCGGAAGTATTCTTAGCAATCCAGAGCAAGCTGAAATCCCACGGAATTTTATGGGTAAACATGGGAGATGCTTACAACACCCCAGTTAATTGGCGTCTTGAAGACTACAAATACAGCAGTCTAGGCAGTGAGTTAAACCACCAGCTAAAATCCAGCAATTCTGCCTACACGAAACCCCGCGGGAAGCGGAGGGCTTTCACCGATTCCAAGACTAAGTGGCTCAGTTACGGAAATCTCCTGGCATTACCTCAACGGTTGATAATTGACTTATGTGATAAAGGATATATCTACCGAGGAGAAGTGATCTGGAGAAAACGGAACCCGATGCCCGAGGGTCTTGCTCGACGGCCACACAGAAGCCACGAGGCCATTTACCTCTTTGCCAAATCAGAGAAGCATTATTTTCGAAAAACACCTCCCGTAGGTTCATTGTGGGAGTTCGGAACCGACAAGATCAACGGATTACCCCACTTTTCGCGTTTTCCCGTCGCGCTTCCCAGGCAATGCATAGCCGCCTATGGAATCACAGGAGCGGATGTTGTGGTACTCGATCCTTTCTCAGGATCCGGTTCCACTGGTATAGCGGCCTTGGAATCGGGTTGCTCTTTTATAGGTTTTGAAATAGATCCGGCTCAAGCTCAAGCCGCTAATGGCCGTTTGGAAAAGATAATCAGGCAACGCAGCGTTCCAACCGAATGATGTCTCCTTGACAAATTATTACACACGAAAGACGCCGGACTACTCACCACTACTGGTCCATTTCACCAAGGATAGCCATCTAAGGAGAATGGTTAGAGAGAATGATATCCCTAATGACCACCCGCTTCACGAGCATAAGCAGCAAAGCGCAATCGAAAAGTTACTTAGTATTCTGACTACGAAGACTATACATGCATCGCCCATGCCTGTCGTAGAAGAAGCCTCTGCGGTATGTTTCACGGAATGTGTTTGGGATGCATTGGTAGACCATTGGAGCAGATACAGTTCATACGGAATTGTATTTTCTAAGCGCACAGTATTCCAATCCGGGGGTGGTCCCGCTCTTTATATACGAGGTGACATTTTGCAGAAAGAACTGGAGAGACTTCCACTGGCACTCCAGTCGTTCGTAGTGCCTTTCGACCCTGAAGGGTTAGTGCAACCAGGGGTCATCCAGGACTGGATCCATGAAAGAGAGTGGCGGTTACCCTCTACAATGACCTTTGAATATGCAGACGTCAGGTACGTGTTGGTAGAATCCATGGCAGACGCGGATAGAATTATGAAAAGGGTCGGGACTATTAATTTACCAGCAAGCCGGTTCATCCCAATGGAAGTTTATCGCACGATCCGAGAGGCGTGGAGAGCTCCATAGATGGCGACGTTCAATCGGACTCACTACAAGATAGCTGATCTCTTGCGTCTTTTCGCAATAGATGAGCTAGTGTTGCAACCAAAATTCCAACGACGGTTAGCATGGGAAGAAGTGGCGCGAGCCTACCTAATCGATACAGTCGTTCGCGGTCTTCCCATGCCCAAAATATATCTCAGGGGAGTTGTTGCGAGTCCGACTCAGTTCCAATATGAGGTAGTTGATGGGCAGCAGCGGCTCACAGCGATAGTCGATTTCTACAATGGAACCCTCCGTCTAGACCCCAGGCACCATCCTCAGTTTGGTGGCCTGACATTCGTTGAATTGCCAGAACCTGTTCAAGCTGCTTTTCTCAGCTATGAGATTTCTGCAGAAGTCATGGAAGACGCAAGCGACCCAGAAGTATGGGCTATGTTCGAGAGACTAAATGACTACACTTTAGTTCTCAACAGACAGGAAAAACTCAACGCTAGGTGGTTTGGGTGGTTCAAGCAAACCGCATACAATTTGGCGGCTGAAGGCCCGTCACTTGAAGCTTGGGAAAACATGGGGATATTCAGCAGCCGGCAGATAGCTAGAATGAGAGAAGTTGAACTCACCTCTGATATTATTGTAGCTGTTGTAAGAGGAATCTCAGACATCAGCATGATCGCCAATGTTTACAAGGATTACGACGACGAATTCCAGAATCGCGAAGCAGTGGAGCGGGTATTCCGGAACGCCCTGCGATCTATTCAGGACCAGATTGGTCCGATTGTGCGCGCCACGAGGTTTCGGCGAATCGCTTGGTTCTATAGTTTGATGGTATCTACATGTGACGTTCTTGAGGGCATCCCTGCGGGCATGGGACCCGGTATACTGCAAACAGGAGAATCAGTGTGCTCTAGGATGCAAGATCTTCACGAAGTGCTAAAAGCACCCGAGCCGCCTGAAGGTCTGGCAGAGTTGCATGCAACTCTTTCGCGTGCTACCAGCCACGTTCGTGAACGCCGAATACGGCACGAGCACTTCTACAATTTATTGACCCTTCCTGATGGTGACTGGGATCATCGATGGCAAGAACTGGGGGGTGCTGAGGTAATCAAAAAAACCAGATTGCTTTGACATGGTGATCAACAATACCTGAGTATAGACATCAGACCGAAAGCAACGCCATTGCACCGCCAACCCGCCCCGTGCTATAATCTCCGCGATGTTAGAGAAGATAAGATAGAAGGTTTTGCATAGATAATGCTGGATGCTGACGTACGGGAACGAATCACGCGGGAATACCGGACTCGCCCCAATGATACCGGGTCCACTGAGCTACAGGTTGCCATACTTACCGAACGGATTCGGCAGGTAACCGACCACCTTCGCACCCACAAGAAGGACTTCCACTCCCGCCGTGGCCTGGTCAGCATGGTGTCGAAACGCCGCAGGCTACTTAAATACCTCAGTAACGAAGACGTTAACCGTTACCAGACCCTGATCAGCCGACTGGGACTACGCCGCTAGGCTTACCCCGTCCCGGTACAGTCCAGGGTCCACCCGCCACGCCATATCGTTACCCCGGTAAAGGCCGCCCGTTTGCAAAACGTGCTAGCTTCACGTTTGTCTGCTCTCCATTGATCCTTATAGAGCGAGGTTATGTAACGTAACTATGCCTGAAGCTACTGTAGTAGAACGAATAATCGGAAACGAGAAGCTGGTGATCGAGTCGGGGAAGCTGGCCTTCCAGGCCCACGGCTCGGCGGTCCTCACCTACGGCGAAACGGTGGTCCTGGCCACAGCGGTAATGGCCGACAAGCCCCGTGGGGACATTGACTTCCTGCCTCTGACGGTCGAGTTTGAAGAGCGCCTATACTCGGCGGGCAAGATTCCGGGGAGCTTTTTCAGACGGGAGGGCCGCCCCGGCCAGGAAGCCATCCTCTCCGCCCGGCTCACCGACCGCTCCATCCGCCCCCTCTTCCCCAAGGGACTGCACAACGAAATCCAGGTAATCCTCACCGTCCTCTCCGTCGACCAGAAGAACTCCGCGGACATACTGGGAATGATCGGCGCATCGACGGCCCTGTCCCTTTCCCACCTGCCCTTCGACGGACCCATCGGCGCGTGCCGGGTGTCCTACAACGACGGCGGGTTCATCGTCAACCCGACCTATGACGAGATTGACGAGGGCCAGTTGAACATGATAGTGGCCAGCACTCGCGACGCCATTATGATGGTGGAAGCCGGCTCCTACGAGGTGTCGGAAGAGGTCATACTGGAAGGCATTCAAAAGGCCTTCAACGCCAACCTGATTACCATCGACCTGATTTGACGAGCTGGTGGCCAAGATCGGCAAGCCCAAGCTCGAAGTGTCGGTTGACACCGAAGAAGAAGAGAAGCTGGGCGCCCAGATCAAGGCCATCGTCAACGGCCGGGTCACCGAAATCCTGGAACAGAACGCCTTCAAGTCGGAACGGGACGAGGGACTGGACCGGATCGAGGAGGAGGTTTCCGAGCAGTTGGCCGAGGAATACGGGCGCAACCGCATTGCCGAGGGGTTCAAGACCGTGGTCAAGGGCGAAGTGCGGCGACGCATCCTGGACCTGGGAGTACGACCCGACGGCCGCAACCTGTCAGAAATCCGGCCCATCACCTGCGAGGTGGGAACCCTGCCCCGCACCCACGGCTCGGGCCTGTTCACCCGCGGCCAGACCCAGGTACTGTCGGTGGCAACCCTGGGCCCGCTTAACATGAAGCAGACCCTGGACTCCCTGTCGCCGGTCAATACCAAGCATTTCATGCATCACTACAACTTCCCTCCCTACTCGGTGGGTGAAGCTCGGCGCGTGGGTTCCCCGGGCCGGCGGGAGATTGGACACGGAGCGCTGGCGGAACGGGCGATTCTCTCCGCACTGCCCGCAGAAGGCGAGTTCCCCTATACCATTCGGGTGGTGTCCGAGGTACTAAGCTCGAACGGCAGCACCTCCATGGGCAGCGTGTGCGGCACCAGCATGGCCCTGATGGACGCCGGAGTGCCGATGAAGGCGCCGGTGGCCGGGATAGCCATGGGCCTGGTTACCGACAACGACGGCCGTCATGCCGTCCTGAGCGACATCCAGGGCATTGAAGACTTCCTGGGAGACATGGACTTCAAGGTGGCAGGCACGGCAGCGGGCATCAACGCGCTGCAGATGGATATCAAGCTGAAGGGGCTGGACGAGGATATCCTCCGGCAGGCCCTGGAGCAGGCCCGGCTGGGTCGCCTGCATATCCTGGACAAGATGTCCGAGGCCATCACCGAAACCCGTACCGAGATGAGCCCCTACGCTCCCAAGAGCATCCGGGTCCAGATTCCGGTGGAGAAGATCGGCGCGGTCATCGGCCCAGGCGGCCGGGTCATCCGCGGCATCATTGAGGAGACCGGAGCATCCATTGACGTGGCCGACGACGGCGGCGTAACCATCAGTTCCTCCGACCAGGCCATGCTCGATCTGGCCCGCAGCAAGATTGAGGGGCTGACCCGCGAGCTGGTGGTGGGCGACATCCTGACCGGCAAGGTCAACCGGCTGACCAACTTTGGCGCCTTTGTGGAGTTGATCCCGGGCAAGGACGGCCTGGTGCGCAACGAGGACCTGGGCGAAATGGAAGAGGAACTCAAGGTCGGCCAGGAAATCACGGTAATGGTCCAGGAGATAGACTCGATGGGTCGGGTCAACGTCTCCCGCCGCGCCCTGTTCGGCGACGACGGCGTAGAGCGGCCTCCCAGGCCCCCTCGGCCTCCACAGGACCGGGGTGGTGATCGTCCCCGCAGCGGCGGCGGCGGTGGCTTCGGCAACCGCGGCGGTGGGCCCGGTGGCAACCGTGGCGGCGGTGGGCCCGGCAGCAGTCGTGGCGGTCCGGGTGGCGGCGGCCAGGGTGGTGGCGGCAACCGCGGCGGTGGCGGCGGTGGACCCCGGGGCGGCCAGGGCGGCGGCGGCAACCGCAGCGGCGGTAGCAGCGTGCCTGACCGGCGCTTCCTGGGCAGCAGCGGAGGAAGGCGCGGCACTTAGATAGCCAGCGGTCTGCCCGAATCTCGACCAAATAGCTAAAACAACAAACCGCTCACATTGAGTTCGCCTCTGGGTCATCGGAGACCCTGCGGCAGGCTCAGGGTGAGCGGTTTAGCATTTGCCACTGGACGGTCAAACCTTTTCCCGATTAGAGCCCTTAGTCCCTCCAGTTGAGAGACAGAACGGGGGGATGCGAGGGGAAACCCTATACCGCCTCGTAGCCCTTTTCCCGGCCCACGTTTACCGCGCGCAGCCGTCTTTGCCCCTGCAACTCTCGAATGGCCTGCTGTACTTTAGGGTCGCCGTAGCGGCGGAAGCGGTTCATTACCTTCTTGTGAGATTGGGGGCGCGCGCAGTATTCCCAGATGTTGTCGGCCAGGTCGTCGCCAGCGGCGGGCAGGACCCTGAGGGTGGTCACCAAGGTGTGGCCGGGGTTGCCGTCGACGGCTTCACCGGTACGGAAGGAGAGGAGTCCGGCATGGGCTTGCCGTTCCAGGTAGTTGCGCAGGCTGGTAAGCAGCCTGCCTCCCTGGCCCGTGGAGCCGTAACCGTGAACCACCTCCAGTTGCACTCCCCCGCCGGGGTGGGCCCGGGCGGCAGAGTTATAAAAATCGCGAAACTCGGTGAGGGCTTCAGTCCAGGTCTTGCCGTGCAGGTCGAGTTTGTTGGAGGACATGGCAGTTGCCTACTGGGGCAGGTCTTCCAGGGGCGGGAGGTCTTCGGAAGGCGCTTGTCCTTCGGCGGGCGGTTGCATGAGAAGACTGAGTCTGCGTCGCTGTTCACGATTTAATGAGGACGAAGGAAGCGGATGCGACTCGGCCGTGCGCAGTCTTTCCAGCTTGTCTACAAGATTCCTGGCGGCGTCCACCCTGTCCTTGACACGAGTGGGGTCCATTTCGTACTCCAAGAAATTCTTATGGAGCGATTCTACGGCGTCATACGATTCAGTCAAGGTGGGATCGTTTTCTTCGTCCCGCAGTTGATCCAAAATAAGCCCGACCCTGTGATGATTGAAATGGTTCCATCCACGTAGCTCACCATAGGACTTGACCGCGTGTGACACCGCGCCGTAGGCCTTTTCCGACGCCTGCACCGTGTATACCTGGTCCAGTTGTTCCTGGGCGTGTTTCAGCAACCGCTGGCTGAGCAGGAAGTAGCGGTCCGACTTTTCGCGGCGGCGCTGTCCGGTTTCGGGGTCGGATGCGGGTGTGGTCACGATGTGTCAGCGTCCCTGTAGTTTGACCAAAATAATAACAGTTCAGGGGTTGCCTACTCCGGCAGGTCTTCCAGGGGCGGGAGGTTGTCCACGGGAACCTGTTCCTCTGCTGGAGGTTGCATCAATTGACTGAGACGTCGACGCTGTTCACGGTTGAGGGAAGTCGAAACAAGCGGTCGGGGCGAAGAGTTCCTTATGGTTTCAAGTTTGTCCATTATCTCTTTCGCAGCGTCGATACCAGCCTGAACTTGAACTGTGCTCATCTCGTACTCGAAGAAGTTGTCATGCAACGCCTTTACTGCCATGTGCAAGGTGACCAGAGCCTGATCATTCCATTCCTCACGTAGCTGGTCTACTATGAGTCCCACCCGGAAATGGTTGTAGTGGTTCCACCCGCGCAGCTCCCCATAGGACTTGACCGCGTGTGATACCGCGCCGTAGGCCTTTCCCGACGCCTGCACCGTGTCTCCCTGGTCCAGTTGTTCCTGAGCGTGTTTCAGCAACCGCTGGCTGAGCAGGAAATAGCGGTCCGACTTTTCACGGCGGCGATATTCGGCTTCGGGCTCAGATGCGGGTGTGGTCACGATATGTCAGCGTCCCTGTAGTTTGACCAAAATAATAACAGTTCCGGGTTGCCTATCCCGGCAGGTCTTCCAAGGGCGGCAGGCTCTCCACAGGAACCTGTTCCTCTGCTGGAGGTTGCATCAACTGACCGAGTCGTCGACGCTGTTCCCGGTTGAGGGCTGTGGATGGCAAGGGCCGGGGAGGAGAGGCTCTTATTACCTCCAACTTTTCCAACAGCCTCTTGGCAGCCTGAAGGTAATCTCCCACCCGGGTTGTCCCTATTTCGTATTCAAAAAAGTTATTGTGGAGTTCCTTCACTACCCCGTGCAACGTGACGAGTTCCGGCTCATTCCATTCGTCCCGCAAATGGTCCAGTATTAGTTCCACACGATAATGGTTATAGTGGTTCCAGCCCCGAAGCTCTCCGCAAGACTTTATTGCATGGGCAACGGCGCCGTAGGCCTTTTCCGACGCCTGCACCGTGTCACCCTGGTTCAGTTGTTCCTGGGCGTGTTTCAGCAACCGCTGGCTGAGCAGGAAATAGCGGTCCGACTTTTCGCGGCGGCGCTGTTCGGTTTCGGGCTCGGATGCGGGTGTGGTCAAGGTTGGTCTATCTCCGGCAGGGTTGTCCTAATGATAGCAGACACACCAATATCTTGGCTTCCTAGGCTGCTTTTTATCCTGCCCACCGCCCCTTTTGCTATAATACTCTGCAAGCGAACCTGGTCCCACAGCTTCTTGACCCACAGGTTCGACCACCACCAGTTCGACACAGACTTCGACAGGAAGAACCTGTATCTGCTGATGGAGGGCCAAGGCAGCCAGATTGCCGAGATTAGCTCCGAGGAAATCCGGCTTTCCGGCAACCACGTATTCCTCAACTGGATGTCGACCTCGGGCGTGGTGGGCGACCGCCCCCGAGATCGTTGACCAACTGGAGTAACGGTCGCAGATTTCCTTCAAGGTTCTTGCTATCTGGGATTAGGTCAGTGATGGACGCCTTCCAAGGTTGTCCATGCAGGGGCGGGCATGGCGCCCGTCCTGAAAATCTAACGCCAAATTTCCTAGAAGCGGGTTCAAGCTCACCCTGGGCCATGAACAGACTTTTGAAAAGGAGGAGACAATGCTGAAGACCGGACTGAAGGCAGTTGGCATAGACCATACGGTATTGCACGTCAGCGACCTGGCTCGATCCAAGAGTTTTTACATGGACCTGTTGGGGCTAACCGTCAATCACGAATCCTCCTGGCAAGCTTTTCTGTGGTGCGGCGACCAGATGGTGGTGCTGTTTGAAGCGCCCCAGGGCCAGCCTCTCACGTCGGGAGTAGAGCTTAACCACATGGCCCTGCGCCTGGACTCCGGAACCTATGAAGAGGTCACGGCCCACCTGGAGCAAAACGGTGTCACGGTTACGGGACGCCCCGGAGACGATCGGTGCATCTGCTTTAACGACCCTGACGGGCATCGGCTGCAGTTGCTCTTGCCTGGCGAGGATTAGACGCTAACGACCCTGGCTTCAACCATGTCCCGCACATTCCGCACATCCCGGCCGATTGGCAATTTGCGTGGAGACGGGTCATGTGCCCGCCCTAATGACAAGCCGTTCGATCCCCAGAGCGGAGCTTTAGTCCACCTTTAGACCATCGAGGAACCAATGACGGAACAGGAATGGCCCATTTTGAGGGCCCAGCCCCGTACTTTCTTTAAGTCGCCCCTTTGCACGAACCTGGACGAACTGGAAGCCGAAGTCGCATTTATCGGCATGCCCTTCGACCAAGCAACACTGGGACGTCCTGGCGCGCGCTACGGGCCCGACGCTATTCGGGACGCACCCCGGGCCTATTCCTACACCGATCCCTTTGGGCGGCAGGAACAGGCGGAGGGCTTCTTCAACATCGAGGCCGGCGGTGAACTGCTGCGGGGCGTGACCATGGCCGACTGCGGCAACATCACCACAATCCCTTCCAACGTGCACCGCAACTTCGACAAGCTGACCGAGGCGGTGGAGAAGGTGGTGGAGCGGGGTTCCTTTCCCGTGGTGGTGGGAGGCGACCACGCCATTACCTATCCGGTAGTACGGGGGCTGAAAAGTTTCGAGCCGTTGAACATAGTCCACTTCGACGCGCACCTGGACTACAGCCACGACTACCAGGGAGAGCTTTTCACTCACGGCAGCCCCATTCGCAGGTGCCGGGAGCTGGACTTCGTCAACCACATAACCTCGGTGGGGATTCGCACGGCGCGACGGCAACCCTACGAGGACTCCCAGCGCGACGGCAGCCTGATAATCACTACGAGCCAGTTCCGTGAAATGGGGCCAAAGGCAGTGGCTGATCAAATCCCCCGGGGCGAAAACCTCTACATTACACTGGACATTGACGTAATGGACCCGAGCCAGGCCCCCGGCACCGGGACTCCTGAGATTGGCGGTCTCTTCTACCAGGAGATGCGGGACTGTCTGGTGGCCCTGGTGCCCAACCACAACTTGATCGCCTTCGACCTGGTGGAAGTTGCGCCGCCCTACGACTCATCGGAGATGACCAGCCAGATGGGGGCTGCGTTGATTATCGACATCCTGGCGGCGCGGTTTCCTTCCAAGTAGGAGCCCCACCCCCGGCCCTTCTCCCCCAGGAGAGGGGTGTAGAGGTAAACCATGCAATCGCTGTTCGGTGAAGGCAAGTCCTTTATTGGCGTAATCCATTTGCCGCCCCTGCCAGGGTCTCCTCGCTGGGGCGGTGACCTGTCCAGGGTACTGGAGCAGGCGGGGCGGGAGGCGGCCATACTTACTGAAGGTGGAGCCAACGGCATCATCGTAGAGAACTTTGGCGACGCCCCCTTCCGCATTGGGCGAGTGGAGCCGGAGACGGTGGCAGCCATGACCCGAGCCGTGGACCTGGTGTGCCGGACGACTCCCCTGCCGGTGGGCGTCAACATGCTGCGCAGCGATGCAATCTCCGCCCTGGCAGTGGCGGTGGCGGGCGGCGCCCAATTCATCCGGGTCAACGTTCACTACGGCACCATGGCCGCCGATGAAGGACTGGTGACCGGAGAAGCCTTTGAGACCCTGCGGCGGCGGCGATTGATGGAAGCGGAGGATGTTTCCATCCTGGCAGATGTACTGGTGAAGCACGCGGTGCCGCTGGGCGAGCCTGAGCTGGGGCTCATTGCCCGGGAGACGGCCTACCGGGGGCTGGCAGATGGGCTGATAGTGACCGGACCGGTTACGGGCCAGCCCGCCGTAGCCGACGATGTGGCAACCGTGCGCCGTGCCGTTCCCGACCGTCCCCTGCTGGTGGGCAGCGGTGTGAATGCCAGCAACGCCGCCCAATTCCTGGCCCACGCCAACGGGGCCATAGTGGGCACCAGCCTGAAGGAAGGCGGGGTGATTACCAACCCCATTGATTTGGAGCGGGTGAGGGCCACGGCGGCGGCGTTTGGGGAGGCGGGGTAGCCCTTTAGTGCCAGGGAATCAATGGCACCGAATCACCACGGAGGAAATAACTTCGTAGAGAAAAGTTGAAGACTACAGTAGTCGCGGCTGGGGTGTGTAGGGTTCCACTATATTGAAGTCCACCAGACCTGACGACCCAAGTAATCTTCTGTCATAGGTATGAAACTCGTCAACTCTCAGGCCTGCATCGGATAACCATTGAGCAGTGGCAAGGTGAATAGCATCCTGAGGTTTTAGGTTACGCTCTCCGGCAAGGGCTTCTCTTATTAAACCTCTGGCCAGCCGCCCGATTGAGGCGTGAAATTCTACCAAGGTAATGGCAGACGAGTCCTCCCAAAGAGCATCTATTCGACGTTCTACTTCAGGATCTGATCTGCCTCTTTGCTGTTCTGTTGTAGCAAAGGCAACTTCAACCCTGGAGAGTTCCGAAGTGTATATATGCACTTCTCCATCACTTGCCGCGCTGCTGTCCAGCAATGCCTCCAGCGTAGGAGTTAGGTGTTCGATACCGTTGATGTATGTCAGGAAGACGCACGCATCCCAGTAAACCAGCCTTCGCCCGTCAGCCATCTCTCATCTGACGGATGATATGTTCTGGCATCGGATTGCCAGCCGGCTGGGGCAATATGCCCTTGGCATCTTTGTATCCTACGGTACCTTTCCGGTCCGCCGGAGCAATTTGAACTATTTGCCGTACGCTCAGAGGTCTGCCGGTGTTACTATCCCGTGAGACTTGACCACTTATCCGTGCCCTGCGCCCCCACATATTCCTGATGAGGTCTTCTTGGGTAGGCTCCAAGTAGCAGGCAACAGCTCTATCGTGAATCGTATCGTATAGATTGAATCGTAGGCTTCCACGGTTGGTCAAAGTCTGAATCCACCCCTCAACCGATCCAATGCTAACTTCCCTTGGGGCACTTTGGTTATTTCGAGCTGCGCCGACTATTGTGTAATCGGCCAATGCAGTCTCAAAACGCAAGTACTCGCACCCGTCAGCAAAGTCTCTGACATCTCTTGCTGCTTTCGCAGCGCGCTTGTTAACTTGCGGAGTGAGCCCCTGCTCCAGGGCTTTTCCCACTTCAGAATACTTGGCAACGACTTCTTCAACCAAAGCTGGATTCTCAGCTTCACCACGAAAAGTTGCCATTGCACTCCCGTAGTGAAGGTCTCGACAACCCAAGTTACTTTTTGACGGGAAGTCAGGGCATTTACCAGCCTTGCAAAGAGATCGATTCCCCTTGCAAAATCCCGCAATTCAACCCTGCCACCCATTTCGAATGTCAATGTATCGTGAGCCATACTCTTACATCCCACCGGTCACGTATAGACTCAAGGGAGAGAACTTTGCGCAAGGCTGACCTTTCCCTGTCAATGGGCCATAAATATATCATACACTGAGTATGCCTTGGCCCCACTCTTCACAGATTCTCAGGTCGGGCAAGTGCGCCAGAGTCGTTCCTCTGCCGCTCTCACTCCCCGCCCAACGCTGCTACCACCTCGGCCGCGCTGGCTATGGTGGCCTGGCGGGGGAAGACTTTCTGCATAAGAAAGTCGTGGATTTCGGGTTCGCGGTCGGCACAGCCATCCTCCACTACCACCAAGCGATAGTCGGCGTCGGCACCGTATCGGACGGTGGAGAGAATTACCCCGCTGGTAGCGTGGCCCATCAGCACCAGGGTGTCAATGTTCTGGGCGCCCAGGATCATGGCCAGGTCGGTGCCGTGGAAGGCGTTGACCCTGTGTTTGACGATGACAGGTTCCCCTTCTTTTCGGCAACACCGAGGGATGTATCAGCGATACCGGATCGGCCGGCGGGGCCTGGCCCGAGGCCTTGCGCTGGCTGAAGGTCTGGTTGCGGTCGGAGATTTCGGGGTAGCCCGGGCGGAAGTTGACCACGATGTAGGCAACGAAAACCCCAGCGTTACGGGCCGCCGCCAGCACCTCCTGCGCCCTCTCAAAGGTCTTACGCTCCCGCACCATCGGGTTGTCGCCCATGCCTTCGTTGTGAAAGTCGGCGGCTAGTACTGCCGTCCTGGTCTTGTCGAGAGTAAGCTCGGCCATGCGTGTACCTCCCATTTCACCTGATTTTTGATCTGGCGAGAACAGATAATTGACTTGGAGTGTAGGCAGGGGTTATGGGACTGTCAATTTGAAAAGGTTCCTGGTGGGGACATAATTGAGCTGACCACTGACCAGGGAAACTATCAGATTAGCCCCAACTTGCTGGCCTCCTTGTTCTCGATCCAATCAGCCCTTCCCTTGCCCTCGCACCTGCTCCGTTGTACTCTCTACCTGAATTCGGCTGAAAGAGGTCACCATTGCTTCAAGTTTCGTTGAAGAGGAAGGTCAGCGCTTTGCTTGGCAAAAGGCATTTGTCGCCAACCACCCAGGTCTCCAACGAATGGAGCCGGATAGAATGGTGGCGGCGGATGTTCCTGCCCGCCGATTTTACGTCACAGGCTTTGCTTTACCGGGTCGAAAACCTGGAATGCAGGAAATTTGCTACAGAGTACCTGTCACTAAAGGAAAGCCAAAGGTTTGCGACAGTAAAAGTCAATGAGGCCCGGAAATATCAGAGAGACCTTCATTTCCGTCCCCAGGAATTCAAGAATCAACGTATCACATTTATTGAGAATGAAGAGAAACTAAAGTGCAAACGGTGCAAGGGAAAGGGAAGAATCGATTGCAGCCCCGAGGTGCCGTGCCCGAGTTGCAGAGGCAGGAGGACTCGCACTCAGTTCTGCTTCTCATGCGCTGGCAGGGGCCGTGCGGGCCAGGACTCGCAGGAGCAGTGCTGGGCATGCCGGGGCAGAGGCACTCGGTCTGACGACTGCGCCACCTGCGCCGGTGTCTTTTCCGGCAGCACCGGCAGGGTGCGATGTAACCGGTGCGGCGGTTCAGGCTGGGTGGTCTGCCGTAGCTGTGCAGGCGCCGGTGAGAAGGTGCGCGCCAAACTGATAATCAGGAATTACACCTGCTCCACAGAGTACCACTTCCGGTTAGACGGGCTGGGCACAGACCAGTTCAGGAACGGCCTTGCCCCAAAGCACTTCAAGTCCATGCTCGGAGACCTGGTACATCAAGGGTTCGATAAACCTTCAAGCGCAACGGTTTTATTGCAGCGACTCAGCGCATTCTCCTACGCAGTTGAATCGAAGACATACCGGTACAAGGGCGCTGATTTCTATCTGAACCGAATATCCTCAGGCAACGGCGACAAGTTTGTAACGAAGGATTTGCCCTGGTCCAAACCTAAACTGGCACTCGTTGGCTTTTTGGGCACCTTTTGCTGTATGCACCATCCCAGTGCTATCGCTGCTATCCTGACCGGGTCAGGGCATTTATTGGTTTAGGCGCCTGCCAAACACCAACAGCATTGGGGTGGCAGCACTTCGGTCTGATTGATTTGCCTGGGCAGCCAGGGCGACCACCAGGGACACCCCTACAGCCAGTTGCCTTCATTTCGGCCCCGGTGTAACCTCTCTCTACCCATCTGACAGCTACACATTACCGGGAGGTACGCAGCTATGCCCTCCATCTACGCCGACACCGTTATTCGCAACGCCAACATCATTACCATTGATTCCAACCGGCCCCGGGCCGAAGCCCTGGCCATGCTGCACGGGAGGTTTGCCGCGGTGGGCGGCGACGACGACGTGGCTGACTGGGTGGGGCCGGACACCAAGGTGCTGGACCTGGACGGAAAGACAGTCCTGCCCGGTTTCATCGACGCCCACATCCACGTCCTGAACAGCGGCATCCGACACGTCATGGCCGCCGACTGCGCCCAGCCCTCCATCGTCGCCATCCAGGAAGAGTTGAGGAAACGGGTGGCCGTTACCCCCGCGGGTCAGTGGGTGCAGGGCTTCAAGTTCGATGACACCAAGACCTCGGAGAACCGCTTTCTGTATTTATCCGACCTCGACGCCGTCAGTACGGAGCATCCCATCCTGGTGGCCCACCGGGCCGGCCACGTTTATTACATGAACAGCCTTGGCATGGAACTGGCCGGGTTCAATGACAAAACCCCAGACCCATCAGGCGGACGGCTGGGACGGGACCCGAATACGGGAAAGTTGGACGGAGTTGTGTACGAGCGGGCCATTGAGCCGGTGCGGTTCGGGCTGATTCCGGTGGAGACACCGGAGATCCGGAGGGAGGGACTGCGGACCATCTGCCGGATGCTGAACGAGGCGGGGCTGACCAGTGTTCATGATGCTCGGGTAACATCCGAGGAGTTCACCACCTACCAGGAGGGCTACAAGGACGGCGACCTGTCACTGCGCGTCTATTGCCTGCTGTACTACCCCCACTTTCCCGCCCTGCGGGACGCCGGTGTCGTTGCGGGGACTGGGCGACGACCGGCTGAGGATTGGAGGCATCAAGATGGTGGCCGACGGGGCAATCGCCGCGCGCACCGCCTTCCTGTCGGCGCCCTACGAAGGTAGCTGCTGCGACCACGGCATACTGGCAATGGAGGCCGACGAGATCAACGAGCGGGTGATGGAGATGCACAAGGCGGGTTTCCAAGTGTGCATCCACGCCAACGGCGACAGCGCTATCGACATGGTGGTGTCGGCCTACGAGCGGGCCCAGGCGGCAGACCCACGGCCCGACCCGCGCCACCGCATTGAGCACTGCACCCTGGTCAACCCAGCCCTGCTCTCCCGGATGAAAGCATTGGGCTGCGTAGCCACCCCCTTCTGCACCTACGTTTACTACCACGGGGAGAAGATGCCCTTCTACGGCGAGGAGCGGCTGCGCTGGATGTTCGCCCAGCGGTCCTTCCTGGACTACGGCATTATTTCCACAGGCGCCACCGACTACCCACCGGGCCCCTTTGAGCCGCTGATGGGCATTCAAAGCTGTGTCACCCGCACCGACAGCGAGGGCCGGCTATGGGGTGAGAATCAGAAGATAACGGTGGAGGAGGCCCTGCGCATCTACACCCTGCACGGGGCCTACGCGGGATTCGAGGAGAACATCAAGGGTTCCATCGAGCTGGGCAAGCTGGCCGACCTGGTGGTGCTGGGCGAAGACCCAACCGCCGTTGACCCGCTCACCATAAAGGACATTCCGGTGATGCAGACGGTTGTTGGTGGGGAGACGGTTTACGGGGGGTAGTTGGCTTTATCCACGAATGGGCACGAATGCCCACTATCTATTAATACTGTGGAAAGCATCAGCGTTCCCAGATGGTTCGCAGCGTTTCAGACCCTTTCCTCACTTCCACAGAAATTGCTACCTCTTCGATATTGGGGACCTTCCGCTCAACTGTCAACTCGGCGATTCCGCTTTTCCGCCTAACGCGCCTGCACACTTGAATCTTGTGGAAGGTATCCATTCCACGCATATTTACTGAACGACCGGCGTATCCGGTATTGATGTGCGAAATGGTGATTCGTTCCGAGTCCCGTTCAAGAAGTTTGCGGGTATTCAGTATAAGAACATCATGCTCGTTATTCCTGTATAGCGCTGTATTCAGCATTCTGCTGAGTCTTTCTTCGTCCACCCAAAGGAAGCATTTTCTGTTTAGGGTTTCGTACCAATCTTCAGGACTCAAGCCCTCTTCTAGCACTTTCTCCAGCTTTTCCGTCGGTAGGGGGTGCTGATCCCGAATTACGGCGACTCCGAAGCTTGGATGTTCGATGGGAACGCTGTCTGGGCGCCACTGGGAGAGTAGTTCGCTACGTCGTTTCCCTTTAATCTCAAACAGGTCAAGCAGCGCGGCAACACTCAATAGCCCATACTTCCGAATACTGGCCCAACTACCTGCTTCGGCCATGTGATATAGCTTGGGATGTTTTTCCACAAATTTATCTATCTGTTGCGATTCCGCCACGACAACCATTCACCATTCACTGGAAATTTGCACCACTCGGAATATAGAGGCTCTATCAGGTCGCCGGCTTAAAGTAAGGCACAGTTATCTGGTCGGTGGCCCTTACAAACGTTACCTCCACCGGCATGCCGATGGTTACTTCCCGAGGGTTGCACTCCACGATGTTGGTGAACATCTTGACCCCCTCTTCCAATTCCACCATCGCCAGCACGTAGGGCACGTCATCGGCAAATCCGGGGGTACGGTTCTGGTAGGTAACAGTGTAGGTCCACACCGTCCCCTTGCCGCTGGCCTGCACCCACCGGATGCCCTCGGACCAGCAATTGGCGCAGATGCCCCGGGGGTAGAACTGGTACTCATTGCAGCTATCGCACTTCTGGATCAGCAACTCCCCCCGGCGGCACGAGTCCCAATAGGGCTTGGTCTCGCCGACCACGGTGGGCAGCGGCTTGTTCCATTCAGATCTGGTTGTCATTGTTAGTCCCTCCCCAAAATGGCGGTGCCGCCGCTGTGTCGCGCGCCCAAAGAGCCGCCGGTGCCGTGGCACAGGGCAATCTGGCAGTTGGCTACCTGGCGCGGAGTCCCTTCAAACTGGTGGCGTAGCTGGCGGGTGGCTTCCAGCAGCAGGAATATCCCTCGCATCCCCGGATGGTTGGAGGACAATCCGCCGCCGTCGGTGTTGATGGGCAGCTTGTCGGACAACTCCGAGTCCACCTGCAGCCGCCCGCCGGAGACGAACTGGCCGCCCTCTCCCTTCTCGCAGAAGCCAAGGTCCTCCAGTGTCTCCACCACGGTAATGGTGAAGGAGTCGTAGATCATCGCCATGTCTATGTCCTTGTGGGTTACCCCGGCCATGGCGAAGGCGGGTTCGTGGCTCTGCTTGGCGGCGATGTACATCAGGTCCCGCTTGCCGGCCCCCTGGTGGGCGATAGCCTCGCCCACGCCCAGGACCCAGACGGGAGTTTGGCGGCAGTTGCGGGCCACCTCGGGCGATGCCACCACCACCGCCCCGCCGCCGTCGGTTATGACGCAGCAGTCGGGCAGGTGCAGGGGCGAGGAAATCACCCTGGAATTGACAATGTCCTCCACCGTGACGGGGTCGCGGAACAGGGCTTCGGGATTCATGGAGGCGTGCTTGCGCATCGCCACGGCCACCTCGGCCAGTTGCTCGGAGGTGGTGCCGTACAAGTGCATGTGCCGCTGGGCGATCATGGCGTACAAGCCCACGGTGGTCAGGCCGTAGAGCTCTTCAAAGCTGTCCGGCGACGGGTCGAGGCGGGGGTGGCCGTAGCGGCCCACTCCGCCGGTGCCCACGGAAACGCCACCGGAGCGGGCCAGGCTGCTGTAGGTGATTACGGCGCAGTTGATGCGCCCCGCCGCGATGGCGGTAAGGGCGTGGGACAAGTGGAACTCAAAGGAGCCGCCGCCCACGGTGGTGTTGTCCACGTACTTGGGGTACATGTTCAGGTAGTCGGCCAGGTTCATGCCGCTGTTGCGGATGCTGCTGGAGGCGGTGAAAAGGCCATCCACGTCCTGCTTGGACAGGCCGGCGTCGGCCAGCGCCTTGATGACGCTCTCCCCCTGGATCTGCAACTCGCTCTTGTCCGGCGCGTATCGGGTAACGTGCTCGTGAATACCCACGATGGCCGCGCCATGCTTAAGGTCAACCATAAGCGGAAAGCCTCCCTGTATAGAGGTGTGCAAAGGTGGGGCCATTATGCCATAGATAGGGGGAGGGGGGGTAGCGGGGGTGGTTCGCTTTACCTTGAATTGGACATTACCTTGTGTAACTATGGAGAAATACGGTAACCCCCAAAATGCTTCCTAAGTGAGGACCATGCAGAAGCCGGATAAAACTATTGCGATAGCGCGTCTTAAAAAGGTTAGAGGAGAAATACGTCCGCTTCAGGGATTGAAGCGCAGTAGTGCGCAGTTTGCCAAATGGCACAGAGATACGCGTATTGCCATTGCTAACGTATTCGGTGAGGATTCAGCCAAAATTAAGGATTTCACCGATATCCGCTACATGCGCATAACATCGGCTTACAATACGCCAGAATCGGTATTACGGAAGGCTTATGTGGATGGCTTGGAGCGAGCCGCATATATACTTCAGTCAATGATCGAAGAAGTTGAGGAGTATTGGGAAGATGCCCAGGCAGTAATTCCATCACCAACTTTGCAGCCTGACCCGTCATTTGGTACAAACGAGGTGTTCGTAATTCATGGGCACGACCATGGAACTAAGAATACAGTGGCACGATTTCTCGAGAATTTGGGCCTTCTGCCAATAATCTTACATGAGCTGCCTGACGGAGGCCGCACTATAATCGAAAAACTCGAAGACCACGCCAGTGGCTTCGCAATTGCCCTTCTGACCCCTGACGACGTTGGTGGGCCCGATCCCGAAAACCTGAGGCCTCGTGCGCGGCAAAACGTTATTCTGGAACTGGGATACTTTGTCGGAAAGTTGGGAAGAGAAAAAGTACGTGCCTTGAAGGTGGAAGGCGTAGAAATTCCTTCCGATTTCTCTGGGGTGCTCTATATTGCGCTGGAGGAATCCGAGAGTTGGAAGATGACCCTTATTAGGGAACTCAAAAGTGCCGGGTTTGAAATTGATGCCAATCGTGCTTTTGAGTAAACGGGCTACTTTCTCTCTATTACCGTCTCCGGGTCAATCACCTTGCTGGCGTCCAGAATCTCAAAGGCCACCACCCGCCCATTATCGTCAAAGTCCGCAATAACGTCGGGGAGAATTTCTGCCGACTCTTTCACCTTTTTCGAGGCCAAGATGATCGAGAGGACATCTGACTTGGCGTCGTAGTTGACCTCCACCATTTTATCATCCCCCCTTCCCCAGCAACTCCTCCGGCACCCCGGCCAGCAGCGACTCAACCCTGGGCAGCACTTCCTGGTGACTCAGGTTGAGGTGCAGCGGCGTAATGGAGATGCGGTTGGCCTTGGTGGCGAACATGTCGGTGCCCTCGCCGTTGTCGGCCATTACCGGGCGGTTGCGGGCAATCCAGTACCGCTTCTGGTGGCCCGTGCCCTCTTCCCGCACCGACTCGCCATAGGAGCGGCCGCCGGGACGGGTTATCTCCACGCCGGTAATCTGGTCCGGGGCCAGGCTGGGCACATTGATGTTCAGCAGAAAGCCGTCGCGGTTATTGTCCTGGGCCAGCTTCAGGGCCATGAGGCGGAGCAGGGACGCGGCGCCGTCGAAGCGGGGGTTCTGCACCGACCCCACCGATATGGCGATAGTCGGGTAGCCCCGGAAGTAGCCCTGGAAGGCGGCTCCCACCGTACCGGACACCATCACATCCCAGCCCAGGTTGGACCCGGAGTTGATGCCGGAGACCACCAGGTCCACCGACCCCACCAGCTTTTCCAGGCCCAGGATGCAACTGTCTCCCGGCGTGCCCTCCACCGAGAAGGCGGTCACACGGTTACGCACTTCCGCCTGCTGGTCCTCGTCGGATGCCGCCTCTTCGTTGGCGGCGGCGCTCAACCTGCCGAGGGCAGGGATTTCCAGGGAGCGGGCCTTCACCGGGGCGTGGAGGGTCAGAGAGGCGCCCACACCACTCTGCTCCCGGTCCGGGGCCACCACAAACACCTCGCCCACCTGGGACAAGGCCTGGGCCGCCGCCCACAAACCCGGGGCATGGATACCGTCGTCGTTGGTAAGTAATATCTTCAGGGTGATAACTCCTTTTCTCTATCCACGAATTAACACCAGTGTTCGCTAATGGGTTAGACCGGAGAACATAACATCAGTGATTATTCGTGCCCATTAGTGGATAAATCAACAGCGGGGCGGGTTTTTAGCCCGCCCCGTCTTGTATCTTAACTTGTCGGTCCCCGCTGCCTAGTGGTGGGCCAGGCCTATGGCGTGGAACATGGCGTGCTTGACCTCCACCGGCGCGATGGCCCGGCGGTAGTCCGCCGAGGCGAATATGTCGCCGATGATTTCGTTGCCCAGGTCGTTGGGCAGCAGGTTGGCCGCCGCGGTTATGTTGTCCGCGGTCAGTTCCTGGCCGGCCAGGGCCGCTTCCACCGACGGAGCGCGCACCGGTGATGGCACCAGGCCACCCACTGCCACCCGGGCCGAGATGCACCGGCCATTTTCGGCGTTGAGGACCACCGCGCCACCAATCACCGGGTAGAAGGAGGCTGGGTGGGACATTTTGGCGTACTCGCCTACCTCGCCGTGGATGCTGGTTGCTTCGTGCTCGTGGCCGTGCCCGTGGTCATGTTCGTGACCATGGTCGTGGCCGTGGCCTGTATCGTGGTCGTGGTGTACCAGGGTGGGCACTGAAACGGAGGTTACTATTTCGTTTTCGGCTACGGCGGTGCTGAAGGCCCCCTGGTAGAAGTCGGCGATGGCTATGGTGCGGGAGCCGTTGGGGCCCTGGACCTCTACGCTGGCGTCCAGGACGCTGAGTACCGTGCCCCAGTCCGACGCGGGGTCGGCGTGGGCGATGTTGCCGCCGATGGTGCCCCGGTTCCGCACCTGGGGGTCGCCGATGCCCCCGGCCACCTCGCCCATCAGGGGGTTGGCGTGTTCCATGGCGTGGGAACGGGCGATTTCGCCGTGGGTGGTCAGGGCGCCGATATGGATATGGTCGTCGTGGACGGTAATGCCCTTGAGGTCGTCCAGCCCGCCGATGTCGATGAGGGTGGCGGGACGGGCCAGCCGCAGCCGCATCAGGGGCAGCAGGCTGTGTCCGCCGGCCAGCAGACGGGCGTCCGCACCGTCTCTTTGGTGGTGGCTGAGCATCTCGATGGCTTCGGCCACCGAGCCGGCTTTGTGGTAGTGAAAATCAGGCGTGTACATTACTGTTCCTCCCGGTCCCGACTAGTAGTGCAACATTCCGGCCTTGAGCCGGAATCGAGAAGGGTTGCCAAAGGTCAACCGCAAAGTGCAGGAAAGGTCCTGGATTCCGGCCTGCGCCGGAATGACGGTTAAGCGCCGAATTACGGTTAAGCCCCAACCCATTATTTCAAAGTAGTCGGACCACTAGTGTCCGTGGTCATGGTCATCACCCCCATCCTGACCTTCCCCCGTCAAGGGGGAAGGGACTAGTGGTTATGGCCGTGGCCGTGGTCATGATCGTGGCCGTGATCGTGGCCGTGACCGTAGCTATCCCCGTGGTGGACTCCTGCTTCCTGGATGGCCCGCCAGACTTTTTCGGGGGTCAGGGGCATTTCCAGGCGGGTTACTCCCAGGGGGCGCAGGGCGTCGATTACGGCGTTGTAGATGGTTACGGTGGAGGCTATTGTTCCCGTTTCGCCGATGCCCTTGACGCCCAGCGGGTTGTGGGGCGACGGCGTTTCCGTGGAAAGGGTTTCGATGTTGGGCACCAGGTGGGCGCGGGGCAGGGCGTAGTCCAGCATGGAGCCGGTCAGCAGCTGCCCGTTGTCGTCGTAGACCGCTCCTTCCCAGAGGGCCTGTCCGGCCCCCTGCACCACGCCGCCGTGGACCTGGCCCTCGACGATCATCGGGTTAATCTGGGGGCCGCAGTCGTCCACCGCCACGTAGCGTTCCAGGACGATATGGCCGTTGTCCGGGTCCACGCTGACCACCGCCACATGGGCGCCGAAGGGATAGGAGAAGTTGGGCGGGTCGTAGAAGGTGGTGGCCTCCAGTCCCGGCTCCATGCCCGAGGGCATGTTCCAGGCCACGTTGGCCATCAGGGCTATGTCCTGGATAGTCTTTCCGCTGTCGGGGGCGCCGCGAACGAAGAAGTTACCATCTTCGTACTCGATGTCCGCTTCGGCGGCCTCCAGCAGGTGGGCGGCCAGGGTGATTGCCTTGGCCTTGATCTTGCGGGCGCTCAGGGCCAGCGCGCCGCCGCCGACCACCGTGGTGCGGCTGCCGTAGGTGCCCCAGCCCATGGGCGTGGTGTCGGTGTCGCCGTGGATAACCTCCACGTCGTCCACGGGGACGCCCAGCTCATCGGACATAATCTGGGCGAAGGTGGTCTCCTCGCCCTGGCCGTGGGGCGACGTGCCAATGAAGACGTTGACCTTGCCGGTGGCGTAGAAGCGCACCGTGGCGCTCTCCCACAGGCCGCCGCCGAAACCGACGGCGCCGGCCACCTGGGAGGGCCCAAGGCCGCAGATTTCGCAGTAACAGGATACGCCGATGCCGGTAATAATACCGCGCTCGCGGGCGTGGGCCTGTTCGTGGCGCAACTGGTTATAGTTGACGTGTTCCAAGGCTACGTCCAAGGTTGTTTCGTAGTCGCCACTGTCGTAGGTCAGGCCGATGGCCACGTCATGGCCGTCGTCGAATTTGGGAATCAGGTTCAGGCGGCGGACAGCCACCGGGTCCTTGCCCACCTCCGCCGCCAGCAGGTCCATCAGGCGCTCCAGCAGGAAGGTGGCCTCGGGACGGCCAGCGCCACGGTAGGCCTCCACCGGGGTGGTGTTGGTGAAGCAGCCGTAGATGTCGGCCTTGATGTTGGGGATATCGTAGGGACCCGAGTACATCAGGCCGTGCAAAATCGTCGGTATGCCCGGGGCCGCGGTGGAAAGGTAGGCCCCCCATGCCGGCGTAGACCACGCTGCGGACGCCGGTAACGCGGCCATCGTGGTTAGCGGCCATTTCCACGTATTCCACGTGGTCGCGACCGTGGGTACTGGCAACAAAGTTCTCGGAACGGGACTCGGTCCACTTGACGGGACAGCCCAGCTTCATGGCGCAGAAGGCGGCAATCATCTCCCAGGGATAGACGGCAATCTTGGCGCCGAACCCGCCGCCCACCTCGGGGGCGATAATGCGAATCTTGTGCTCCGGTATGCCGGTCACGAGGCAGGTAACGAAACGGGCGATATGGGGATTCTGGGTGGTGTTCCAGATGGTCAGGTCTCCCATAGAGGGCACGTAGCTGGCGATGGCGGAACGGGGCTCCATGGCGTTGGGAATCAGCCGCTGCTGAATGATGGTATCGCGGACCACCACGTCGGCAGTGGCAAAGGCGTCGTCAGTATCTCCTCCGGCGGCCACCCAGTGGAAAGCCTGGTTGCCCGGGGCGTCCTCATGCAATTGGGGCGCGCCCTCCCGCAGGGCGGCCTCGGGATTGACCACGGTGGGCAGGGGCTCGTAGTCCACGCTGATCAGTTCCAGCGCGTCCTCAGCCTGGTAGCGGTCTTCAGCACCACCACGGCCACTGCGTCGCCCACATACCGGACCACGTCTTTGGCCAGGGGCGGGTAGGCCACGGCCCTGACGTCGGAGTCGGGGATCACCCACGCGCAAGGCATGGGGTTGAGGACACCTTCGGTATCGGCGCCGGTATAGACGGCCAAGACACCGGGGGAAGCGGCGGCGGCGGCAGTATCTATGCGGTTGATGCGGGCATGGCCGTGGGGACTGCGCAGGATGGCCGCGTGGACCATTCCCGCCAGTTTAATGTCATCAGTGTAAGAGGCCTGTCCGGTAATCAGGCGGGGGTCTTCGCGGCGGCGAATACCGGAACCGAATATTCGGGTAGTCATCGTCTAACCTCCACTGCCTTCGGTTGAAATGGCCTCGGCGGCCGCCAGGGTTGCCTTGACAATGTTGTGGTAGCCGGTGCAGCGGCAGATGTTGCCTTCCAGTCCGGCCCGCACCTCTTCGGCGCTGGGGTGGGGGTTGCGAGCCAGCAACTCGGTTACCGTCATAATCATACCGGCGGTGCAGTAGCCGCACTGGAGACCGTGGTTGTTCCAGAAGGCCTCCTGCACCGGGTGCAGATTGCCGTCCTGGGCCAGGCCCTCGATGGTGGTGATTTCGGCCCCGTCGGCCTGGACGGCCAGGCAGGTACAGGACTTGACGGTGGAGCCCCCGTCACCATTGAAATCGAGGCGGACGACGCAGGCACCGCACTGGCTGGTGTCGCAGCCGATCTTGGTGCCGGTAAGGCCCAGGTCTTCCCTGAGATAATGCACCAGGAGGGTCCGGGGTTCCACTTCCGACTCACGTGATCTTCCGTTGACCGTTAACTTTATGGGAACTTTCACTTCACGCCTCGCGTCCGTGAGATTGGATAGCCTGAAAATCAGGCCAAAAGGCCTGGGGGGATATGCGGGGGAGTATATACGGGGGTATGGGGGTAGTCAATTGGGGGATTGTAGGGTGAGCGGGTAACCCATGCGAAGGGTAAGTCGGGTCGTCATGTCTCGGTGCGCGGTGAAATGAACCGCCGCTTCCGCACCATTCACTTCCAGTATGGCCCGGCACAGACCCGAATCTACCGTTAGCAATGGCGTTTCGGCAGTAGCAACTTCCAGCAATACCGCGTCGGTCAACCCCAGGCCCTCAAATACCGGGTTGTCCGAAGCCTTGGCGCTGGCAACTACCACTTCCTGACTATCCTGTATTATTGCTCGTAGCCGACGCATGAGTTGGGAACGCTGCGGGTCCCTGTGCTGCCTGATCAAATTGGATGTTTCCGTGAGGGCGTTGGGAGTTACCAGTACACGACTGACCGGGGCCAGAAAATCAATCGAGAGTTCATAGTCTGCTGCCGAGTAGTCTTCCAGCCGGCGATGCCTGGCAATCAAATCCCGGTCTTCACTGCCTACGACATAAAGGAGAAGCAGGTTGCTATCGATGAAGTATCCCTGCGGAGGCAACGACTTTCTTTAAACCAGCTAAATCGTAGTCTTTAACGGATTCCACGTTGCTGGTGTCGTCGTTAATGCTCACAACTTTGTAAGATCGAGCAGAACGTGGGTAACCCAGAGAAGAGGCAACAGTCTTGTTCTTGATCCGGTCCCAGGGCCGCGAAAATCCGACGGTTACTCGCCAATGGCCCGTCTCCAAGTCGAATTCAATCTCTTCAAGGCCAATGTTAGTAATTTCCTCGGGCGCGAAAAGATCCGCAATGTATCCTTTCGCCAAAACTGCGGCCTCTTTCATATCCAAAGCTGCCATGTAATGTCTCCTATCCCGGCCCAGAGAAACCAATTATGACACCACTCCCGTTGCGCCATTTCAACGCCCTGGGGTGGTAGAGCATAGCGAAGTTTGCTCTTTGTTGAAGGTATCAATATGTGCACTTTTAGTGATTTACATATCCAAGGGTTAAGAGCAAGTACTCGCGCTATTTCCAGCAATTCTTCCCGGGATATTGAAATGGGCCATATATAGCATTCAATCAAGACCCTCCACCCCACCTTGCACCCAACCCCCTCCCGCCCTATCATACCCCCAGCCAACGCATCCCAAACTCGAGGTAATCCCCATGTTCCCGCAACACGTTTTTCCCGATACTGCCGAAATTGACGGGCAGGGGCGGCTGGTTATTGGCGGCTGCTCTGCCCTGGACTTGGCCGAGGAGTACGGCACCCCCGTCTACGTGCTGGACGAGGCCACCCTGCGCAACCGGTGCCGCAGCTACCGCGCCGAGTTCGAACAGCGCTGCCCCGGAGCCCAGGTGCTCTACGCCTCCAAGGCCTACATCAACCCGGCCCTGGCCCAGATTTTCAACGAGGAGGGCCTGGGCCTGGACGTGGTATCCGGCGGGGAACTGGCGGTGGCCATCGCCGCCCAGTTCCCTCTGGAAAAGGTCTATTTCCACGGCAACAACAAGACATCCGACGAACTGGCCTACGCCGTCGACCAGGGCATCGGGCGGATAGTGGTGGACAGCTTCCACGAACTGGACCTGCTGAACCGCATAGCGGGAGAAGCGGGCAAGGTGCAGGACATACTCATCCGGGTGTCGCCGGGAATTGACCCGCACACCCACGCCTACACCACCACCGGCATCATCGACTCCAAGTTTGGGTTCTCCATCCAGACGGGGCAGGCCGCCGAGGCGATCCGACAAGCTCTGGCCCTGAGCCGGAATGGGGGCAACCTGACCTTAAAGGGACTGCACTTCCACCTGGGGTCGCCCATCTTCGAGCTGGAACCCTACCAGGCCGCCGCCACCGACCTGGTGCTGCGGTTCGCCGCCGGATTCCGGGAAGAAGGGCTGGACCTGCAGGAATTCAGTCCGGGCGGCGGGTTTGCCATCGCCTACACCCGGGACCAGGAACCACCGGCCATCGGCGAATACGCCGAGACCATCGTCGCAACACTCAAGGCCACCTGCGGGGAGCTGGGGCTGGCCATACCCACCCTTTTGATAGAGCCGGGGCGGTCCATCGTGGGCCCGGCGGGGGTCGCGCTGTACCGCATCGGAGCCATCAAGGACATCCCCGGGGTGCGGAAGTACGTCAGCGTGGACGGGGGCATGGGCGACAACATCCGACCCGCCCTGTACCAAGCCAGCTACGAGGTGGTGTCGGCGGGGAAGGTCAATTCCAGCACCAGCGGCAACGGTACTTACGCGGAGGAGAAAGTCACCATCGCGGGCAAATACTGCGAATCGGGCGACGTGCTGGCCTCGGACATCATGCTGCCAACGCCGGAGCCGGGGGACATCATCGCCATCCCTGCCGCCGGAGCCTACTGCCCCTCCATGGCCAGCAACTACAACCTGAACCCGCGTCCGCCCATGGTGCTGGTCAAGGACGGGAAGAGCCGCCTGATCCGGCGGCGGGAGAGCTACGCGGACATGATGCTTTGCGACGTTTAGGGGGCCACTTAAACCATGTGGCAGATTTACGGCCAGGAACATATCGTCCGCCAACTCGATGCCGCCCTCAAGGCGGACCGGATGTCCCATGCCTACTTGCTGGCGGGGCCTCCCCATGTGGGCAAAATGGCTTTGGCCGTCAATGTCGCCCAGGCGGTCAACTGTTGGGCGGACGGGCGTCGAGCCGCTAAAAGGCCGAACCCTCTCACGTCACGCCCTTCCGAGCCGGGAGCAGTCCGCAGGCCTCTTCGGTTTTGAAGACGCGCCACCAGAAGCTGCCGGAGAAAGCCTCCTCGGCGACGCAGGCAGGGACGTGACTGATCCAGGTGCAGAAACCCTGTCCGAATCCCTGTCCGAATCCGGGGGCGTACCCTGCGGCTATTGCACCCAATGCCAGCGCATCGCCCAGGGCATCCACCCCGATGTAAGAGTAATCGGCCTGGGGACCGGGGACGACGAGGGAACCAACCGCCGCGACATCCGCATTGAACAGGTGCGGGAGATCGAGTCCTTCCTCAACCTGACTCCCTACGAGGGCGCCTGCAAGGTGATCATCGTCGACGGGGCGGAGTTGATGAACACGGCGGCGGCCAACGCGCTGCTCAAAACACTGGAAGAACCTCCCCCGTCTTCCCTCCTGTTGCTGCTGACCTCCAGCGAAGACGCCCTGCTGCCCACCATTCGCTCCCGTTGCAGCGCCCTTTACCTGAAGCCAGCGGCCAAGGCTGACCTGCAGGAGCGATTGACGCGAGAATACGCGGCTGATCCGGAAGTGGCCGAAAAAGTTGCCCGTATCTCAAGAGGCTGCTTCGGCCACGCGGTAAACGCCCTGCGGGACTCGCAGGTGCTGGAACAGCGCGATGCTGACCTGGAAAGACTGCAAGAGGTCTGCGAAAGCGGGCTTGACGTACGCTTCGACTACGCCGCTGAGCTGGCGACCCGTTTCGGCAGGGACCGGGGACGCCGCCAGGGAAATGCTCTACCTGTGGCTGCGCTGGTGGCGGGACCTGCTGCTGATCAAGGAAGGAGCCGAGGAGTACCTGCAAAATACCGACCGGCTGATGCCCCTGCGCCTGCAAGCAACCCAGCTTTCCACGGCCCAGGTGGTAGCCTTCATCAAGCGCATCAACCGCACCCTGGGGGCCCTGGACGCCAACGCCAACCCCCGCCTGGCCCTGGAGACCCTGATGATGGGGTTGCCGGCGATGTCAGCCAGGCCGTAAATAAGGTCAATCGGACGATACTGTCCGCTCAGAAGTCTAAACCCGAATCCACCGAAAGGAAGTAGGAGAGCCGACCGGACAGGGGATGAGAGGCGAGAGCAAGCGGAGGTGAGGGTTTGAACCGGATGGATCTGGCTGGACGCACGGTGGGGCAGCCACCGCAAGGGGATTATTGACGGGCCGCAGGAGGAACGGTGGGCGAGATCATCATGCAGATTGCAGCCGGAAACGATCAGGAACCGACCTGGGGCAAATAAGCCAGGCGGTTGGGTAGTCCAGCGGATGGGTCAGGCGCCACCGGCGCCGTCAGGAAGGAAGCGGCAGGGAGCGCAATCGAGCCAGTGCGCTGCTGAACTGGGCTTCCCAGGGCCAGCCCCGGGGGAGGTGCAGGGTGAGGTGGCGGGCCTTGCGGGTGAGCCGTCCGGCCAGGGAGAAGAACCGCCGCCGGAGGGTCTTGGTGGTTACTATCTGCTCACCGAGACCGATGCGCGCCGTCCAGCGGGCCAGATTATGCGCCAGCACCTGCACCGCCAGCCAGGCGCCGTTGGCGGCGAAGCGGCCCGAGGGGAGATGGTTCAGACCCACGCCGTACTTGAGGTCTCGGATGGCGTTCTCGATCTCGGCGTGGCGGCGATGGTCGGCCTCCAGTTCCAGGGTGTCCTCGTCCCGGTCGGTGATGAAGCCGTGATAGCTGTAGGAGGCGAAGAGGGCCAGTTGGGACCGGGCGCGGGCTTCACCCGCC